ATGCCAGCTGCAGTTCCGGACCCGGAGGAACCCAGTTCCCCAGCTGCAAGGAATGGACCCCTGAATCCCGAAGCTCAAGTCTCTTCGGAGGACGAGCCCGTTGCGCGACCTACGGTATTTCAGGAATTGGCTCTTCCAGACCCCGGGTCCATGGACGCACAAGTCGCACTAGCCCTGTCGTTCGTGATGGTAGCCATGGCTGGGGAAAGCCTCGACGCAGACCCCGCCGTCTATTATCACCAAGGTTCCGATTTCGTGCTCTTGGACATGCTCAAAAACCAGCTGGCATATCTCCCCGACCTCAGCGACCTCCGGCCCGAGGCCAACATCGAAGACGCAATCGTCGGTGAGCCCGGGGAATCGGACCCCGAGGAGGGAGAGAGGCTCCGGTCCATTCTCCGGAAACACCGCATGATTTTTTGGGAGAAGGGAACGCGCTTCCTCCCCCAGCCCGAGGCGTCGTGTGCAACCTGGACGTCGGGGACGAAAAACCTATTTCCATGAGCCCCGGAGAACCCCCGCCGATTTACTATCCAAGGTGTATGAGTTGCTCAAACGTCTCCTGGAAACGGGTCTGATCGAGTACTCCAACTCAGAATGGGCATCGGCCATCGTCCTCGTGATGAAGAAGAACAGCACCGAAGTCCGCTTATGCATCGACTACCGGTTGGTGAACCAACTGATTAAGTTGATGAACTACCCCCTACCCCTAATCGACGAGCTCATGAGCAATTTCGCCGCCACCATGTGGTTCATGACCCTAGACATGGCGAGTGGGTTCTGGGCAGCCCGATGACGGCCCGAGCCCAGCTGATTTCGGCATTCATTTGCCCGCTCGGACATTTTCAGTGGAAGCGCATGCCGTTCGGGCTCAAGAATGCCCCGTTGATTTACCAACAGCTCCTGGACAACTGTCTCTGGGGATTCGTCCGGTTACCCCCGGATGAGGAACGACTCGTCGACCTGGAGGTGTTAGAATTCTTGGGTATCTCTCCCGAGGACTCGGTCGCCCAGGAATCCCAGGGCACGGAGCCCCAGGGGGGGCGGTGGTCTCCAGGACCAGCACTGACACCGTGTTCCACCAGAACTGGGTCGCCCCGAAACAGATGGAGCCTGTGCTGTCCCGGAGTTCGTACATCGATGACAGCATCTACGGAGCTCCGTCCTGGGATGACCTGTGCAAGACGTTGAATGGCCTCCTGTACCGACTGTGGTACTGGAACATCTCAGTGAGCCCCCCGAAGAGTGAATTCGGAGTCAAGAAATGCAAGTACCTCGGGCATGACATCAGCTCGGACGGAATCCGGACGTCCCCAAATCTGGCGGAAAAGGTCCTCAACTTGCCTTTCCCGAAGACCCAGAAGGGAGTACAGTCCTTCCTCGGGAGCCTCAACTACTATGCTAAGTTCATCGAAGACCTACCCGTGCTCGCAGCCACTCTATACGAAATATCGGACGAACAACTCCGTTCCGGGCAAGATTTGGAGAAGCCTAAGCATGCGTTCAAGATACTCAAGGGCCGACTAGTGTCGACACCACTACTCCAGCACCCTGACCCCGGGAGGCAGTACGTAATCATATTGCACGCCAACCCCCTGGGCAATCAGTGCGGTTCTGGGGCAAGACCACGACGGCACCATACTACCCGTGCGGTTCGTAGGACGGGTGCTCCAAGACGCCGAACTCAGGTACCACCCCGCCACTAGCGCTGCTCCGAGTCCTGAACACATGCCACACTATGATTACGAGCTGTTTCAAGAAGAAAATTCGCGTGTATACCAGGTACTCGGTGCTGGTGTGGCTGTTCAAGTCCAAGACGGTAGATGGGAGGTGCCTCAAGTGGGCAGTCAACCTGTCTCCCTGAGACCTGGATATCCGGCGAGTCGAGAACGATGAAGATGGCCTGGCAGCGATCCTGGGAGCGGGGATCACTCCCCGGGAACGCCTCGACAAAGTCGCCGAGACCCTAGTCCCGGACAAGGGTTCCCGGATCAAGACACCGCCAGTCAGTCTAGAAATTCTCTCTAGTGACCACATCGGACATCTGCTGAGCTTCGACGGAGCTGCCAAGAGAGATGG